GGGGGGCGGGGCGCTCCGCGGGCTTTATAGCGCGTCTGAGGCCTGACAGGTGAAGTCGGCGCCGCGCGGAGACCGGCAGGCCCCCGGCCGGGACGCCCCGAAGGGGCGGCGGGCGCGGGCCGCGGAGCCATGGATTGCACGTTCGAAGGTATTTTTTGGAGGATCCCCCCCACCCCTTTATCACGGAGCCTCCACTCCGCTGCGGGGTCACCATCCCCGGTTTCCTCAGAGGAGGGCGTGTGTGTGCAGTGGCCGTGGAACTCCCAGCCCCCCAGCGGGAAGAGCGGGTTCCCGAGGGGGCGGCGTGCCGGCTCCCGGCGCCCACTGGAGTTGGTGGGCCACCCCCCCCCCCGCAGTAGTTACCCCTACCCCGGCGTTTGGAGTGAGAGGGTGGCTTTCCCGCGTCCTCCGCCCCCCCTCTGGGGCAGCAAGGGAAGAAGCGGGGAGGAGGCCAGTTGTCCCCCCTCCCTGGAGCCAAATCCGGGACCCCAGTCCTGGATTCACTCAGGTTTTCTTTCAGGGCCTCAGTTTCCCCATCTGTCAGAGGGGCTCATGAGGGCGGGGATGAGGGATGGGGGGCCCTGCCAGGGAAAGTACTGTAAGCCTTTAGGGCCTGCACCGGCCCAGATTGCCCACGAGGTGTTTCCCATGGGGAGGGCCCAGGGGGCCGGAGTCTGGCACCCCCATCTCGGGCTGTTGGAGGCCAGAGGGAGGTCCCCTCCTGCAGGAACTGCCCTGCCCGGGCACCTGGCAGGAGGCAGGTAACGGTGAGGCCCACTGGGCGCCAGCTTCCTGCCCCGCCAAGCCTCGGAGCAGCCCTGCCACGTAGGGCTTCATCCTTTTTTGTTGTGCAGATGAGGAAACTGAGGCCCAGTGAGAGGAGGCTGTTGGCCCAGGCCACACGTCCAGTGGGCATGTGGGCAGGCCCAGGAGCTCAGGCTGGGGATCTTGCACAGCACTTTAACCCAGTGGGTGACTGTCCCTATGGGTTAGAGGGCCCCAGGGCAACAGCCAGGCAGCTGGTGACCCGCCAGCTGGGGGAGAGGCTGGAGCGGTGGCAGGGAGTGTGTCCCAGTCTGTACGAGGAGGAGGGAGTCAGGACAGCCAGCACTGCCTTTATAGAGGGGAAACTGAAGCCCTGAATGGCCTGGTCCCGAGGCTGCTTGGCTGCAGGCATGGTCTGGGCTAGTGCCCAGAACACGCAGGGACACACTGGTTGGCACACACATGGCCGGCAGCTGGGTCAGCCCCAAGCCTCGGTCTCTGCCGCGGAGGAGTGGGTTGGGGTTGGCAGCTCTGAAGTCAGCCGTTTGGGGCCCAAACCCCAGTTCTGCCTGAGCATAGGTGTGGGCCACTGACCTTGCCCAGCCGTTGTACGGGCTGCTGGGTACGTGAGAAGCACCAGGCATTGCTCCAGATGTCACAGGTGCCCAAGAAACGGCTGTGTGTCTGGGAGCCCGGGCTCATGCGGGTCGCTTTGTTTCTGCATCTTGCCCCACACATACAGCTGTGTGGACCCGAGGCATGAAGTGTGTGATGCCCTGTACAGGGGCCAGCCCCCGCCCTCCGGTCACTGACCCAGCCTCTTCTCTGTTCCCCAGACATGCTGCAGCTCATCAACAACCAAGACAGCGACTTCCCGGGCCTGTTTGACCCACCCTATGCCGGCGGCGGCGGCGGGGCAGGGGGCACAGACCCTGCGAGTCCTGATGCCAGCTCCCCGGGCAGCTTGTCCCCACCTCATGCCACAATGAGCTCCCCACTCGAAGGCTTCCTGGGGGCACCCAAGGCGACACCTCCACCCTTGTCCCCTCCCCAGCCTGCGCCCACCTCCCTGAAGATGTACCCCCCTGGGCCGGCCTTCTCCCCCGGGCCTGGTATCAAGGAGGAACCCCTGCCGCTGACCATCCTGCGGGCCCCGACCTCGCAGCCCCTGCCGGGGTCCCTCCTGCCCCAGAGCTTCCTGGCCCCGGCCCCGCCACAGTTCAGCTCTGCCCCTGTGTTGGGCTACCCCAGCCCCACGGGAGGCTTCTCCACAGGTAAGGGGGGTGTGGGGCGAGGGGACAACAGGAGCACAGAGAGGAGGGTCTACCGTGGCCTCAGTGGAGGAGTTTGCAGGCTTTAGACATGGGGGGCCTCTGCTGCACTGCTCCGGGTGCCCCTGTTCCTAACAGGACTTGCGTGTTGGTGCCGGGTGAAGCCCTGCCTCCCACTCTGCCCCGGTGGCGACATCAGGGCCGCCCTTCCAGGGACAAATGCGTGGCTGGAAAGCTAGCACATCTGCATCAGAACTCCCGGCAGGGGTTGGCCACCCTGGAACCCAAAGCCGTGAGGGCTGATGACTCATCCCAGGTCATAGGGTGATAGGGCCCCGAGGGGTGGGTTGAAAGTGGGTGAGGGTGGCCTGTACCTGCAGCCCCAGCCTTTATCTCTGCAGGGACCCCTCCAGGGAGCACCCCGCAGCCGCTGCCTGGCCTGCCACTGGCTTCCCTGCCAGGGGTCCCGCCCGTCTCCTTGCACACCCAGGTCCAGAGCGCGGCCCCCCAGCAGCTGTTGACGGCCACGGCCAACCCCACAGCAGCGCCCGGAACAACCACGGTGACCTCGCAGATCCAGCAGGTCCCGGTGAGGAGGTCTGGCCAGGCGTCGGGGAGGTGGCAGGCCCCGGTCCAGACTCCCCGCTCTTGGCTGAGACCGCCCTCCCCCACCCCCAGGTCCTGCTGCAGCCCCACTTCATCAAGGCAGACTCTCTGCTCCTGACAACCATGAAAACAGACATGGCAGCCACCGTGAAGGCGGCGGGTATCGGCTCGCTGGCCCCTGGCGCAGCCGTACAGACGGCGCCCTTGCAGGTGGGTGGCGTGGGGCCGAAGGCCGGGGCTCTGCGCGCGGGCAAGCCCGGCCGGTAACCTGCGCCTGGCCCCTCAGACCCTGGTGAGTGGAGGAACCATCCTGGCGACGGTGCCGCTGGTCGTGGACGCCGAGAAGCTGCCCATCAACCGGCTGGCAGCTGGTGGCAAGGCCCTGGGCTCGGCGCAGAGCCGCGGGGAGAAGCGCACGGCCCACAACGCCATTGAAAAACGCTACCGTTCCTCCATCAACGACAAAATCGTCGAGCTCAAGGACCTGGTGGTGGGCACTGAGGCGAAGGTGTGGGCAATGGCGTTCAGAGGCACACTCTGGGGGTGACCCTGGGGAAGCAGGGGACCGGAAGACCCAGAAGGCTTGGGACTGAGCTTGGGCCCTGGGGACTCTACAGGGAACAGACAGACAAACATCCTGCTGTCTGGAGACTGAACGTTCTAGTGGGGGACAGGGGATGACAATACACAGGATAAAGAAGGAAGTGTTAGAGTCGCCAGCTGGGGATAAGTGCCATGGAGGAAGACAACACAGGGAGAGGGACGAAGAGGCTACACGTCCGAAGCACCTCACCAAGGTGACATGACAGCAGCAAAGACCTGAAGGAGGGGAGGGAGGTAGCTGGACACTGTTGGATGCCTTTGGGGTATGAATCCTCGTGCCCAGCCTGGGAGATAGGTTCTACCAGGGGAAGAACGTTCCACGTAGAGAGAACAGCAAGTGCAACGGTCCTGAGGCAGCCGTGCTGTGAAGTAGCGCCCCCCAGCCCCCGCCCTTTGCTTAGGTGCCCACTGGCCAGGCCTGACCGGCCCCTTGTGCCATCTCCCTCCCACCCCCTGCAGCTGAATAAGTCTGCCGTCTTGCGAAAGGCCATCGATTACATCCGCTTCCTACAACAGAGCAACCAGAAGCTCAAGCAGGAGAACCTGAGTCTCCGCACTGCTGCCCACAAAAGCAGTGAGTCCTGGCGCTCCCCCCGCCCCCCGCCCGGCTCTGCACTGCCCCACCCCCCAGCTCCCGCACCTGCCCCTTAAGCCCTAACCCTACAAGGGCCCTTAGCCCCTCCTCTGGTCCCAACTTGGCCCTCAAGAGCTAGACCAACTCCCGTGCGCCCCTCTCCAGGGGGCCCTAAGCTGATTGTGGGTGGGGTATCTAGCCTTCACCCCCGGCCCTGCTCCTTTCCGGCCTCCAGAGTCTCTGAAGGACCTGGTCTCAGCCTGCGGCAGCGGAGGGAACACAGACGTGCCCATGGAGGGCATGAAGCCTGAGCTGGTGGACACGCTGAGCCCGCCCCCGTCGGACGCCGGTTCGCCGTCCCAGAGCAGCCCCTTGTCCCTTGGAGGCAGGGCTAGCGGTGGCAGCGGCAGTGACTCGGAGCCCGACAGCCCGGTCTTTGAGGACAGCCAGGTTGGGCCCGGCCCTGTTCCCCAGCCCCCACCCCCGGTCCATCTCCCTGCAATATCTGAGCCCCAGGACTCGGTCAGGAAGAGGCCCCTAACATAGCCCACCTCCCATTTGATAGAGAAACGGAGGCCTGTAGCCACGTGGGGTCCCACAGTAAGGCGGCGTGGAGGGCTGATCCCTCCTTCCCTGTCGCATCCTCCCGGGGCCACTCCCGCTCTGCCCTCGCCGACCTGCCCACCCCTGCCAGGTGAAGCCCGAGCAGCTGCTGTCCCCCCGCAGCCGGGGCATGCTGGACCGCTCCCGCCTGGTCCTGTGCACGCTCGTCTTCCTCTGCCTCTCCTGCAACCCGTTGGCCGCCCTGCTGGGCAGCCGGGCCCTCCCCAGCCCCTCGGATGCCGGCAGCACCTACCACCATCCTGGCCGCAGCGTGCTGGGCACCGAGGGCAGAGGTAGGACAGGCCCCAGCGTGGGTATCCTTGGGACGGAGGGGCGGGGGTGGGGAGCTCGGGGCGTGTAGCTGGGACTCTGGATTTCCGGGGTGCCGTGGTCCCAGCCCCTCTGTCTGCCCCCAGACGGCCCTGGCTGGGCCCCGTGGCTGCTGACCCCACTGGTGTGGCTGCCCAACGGGCTGCTGGTGCTGGCCTGCTTGGCGCTTCTTTTTGTCTACGGAGAGCCGGTCACGCGGCCCCACTCAGGCCCCGCCGTGCACTTCTGGAGACATCGCAAGCAGGCTGACCTGGACCTGGCCCGGGTAAGGGGCCGGATCCCGGGGGTGGGCTCGGGGGATGGGGCAGGGCCAGGACCTGGGCGGCACCTGGGAAGGTGCTGGGGGGCCCTGCCCTGCCCTGTCGTCCCCTCAGACTCGCACTGCCGGGGGTGGGCAGAGGGGCGGGGAGGGGACACCAGCGTCATGGTGGGGGGCCCAAGGTGGAAGGACCTTCAGAGCAGGAGGGGTATCGTGCGCTCACATGCTCTGATCCACCTCTTCTCACCTGGAAAACCCTCATCCGCAGGGGGACTTTGCCCAAGCTGCCCAGCAGCTGTGGCTGGCCCTGCGGGCCCTGGGCCGCCCGCTGCCCACCTCCCACCTGGACCTGGCCTGCAGCCTGCTCTGGAACCTCATCCGCCACCTGCTGCAGCGTCTCTGGGTGGGCCGCTGGCTGGCAGGCCGGGCAGGGGGCCTGCAGAGGGACTGCACCCTGCGGGCGGACGCCCGCACCAGCGCCCGGGATGCCGCGTTCGTCTACCACAAGCTGCACCAGCTGCACACCATGGGTATGCGGGGCGAGGGGCCGGGCCCGAGGGGCTCCCGCCGCCCCCCTGCCTCACGTCCTGCCCGTTTTCCAGGGAAGTACACGGGAGGGCACCTTGCCGCTGCCAATCTGGCACTGAGCGCCCTGAACCTGGCAGAATGTGCGGGGGACGCCGTGTCCGTGGCCACGCTGGCCGAGATCTATGTGGCCGCCGCGCTGAGGGTCAAGACCAGTCTCCCGCGGGCCTTGCATTTTCTGACAGTGAGTGGGTGCTGGGCCGATGGGGACAGGGCTGGGGGGCTTGTCTCTGCAGCTCTTTCCGGTGGCTCCCTGGGCACGGGGCTCACAGGAGGAGGCAGCTGGTTACGGGGGGCGGGGGGACTCCAGGCCCGTCTCAGACCTAGGGTTGGGTTTGAGCCCCTGTCTGGGTCCAGTGTGACAGCCCCACTCCCCTCCCCCACAGCGCTTCTTCCTGAGTAGCGCCCGCCAGGCCTGCCTGGCACACAGCGGCTCGGTGCCTCTTGCCATGCACTGGCTGTGCCACCCGGTGGGCCACCGTTTCTTCGTGGATGGGGACTGGGCCGTGAGCAGCGCCCCGAGGGAAAGCCTGTACAGTTTGGCCGGCAACCCAGGTGCTCTCTCAGCGCCGTGCCCATCCCCTGCTGCCCGACGTCCTTCGTGGCCCATTCCCCTTCCTGTCCCGCATCTCCGCTTGTCCCTGCATCTCTGCTTGTCCCTGCATCTCTGCTTGTCCCTGCATCTCGGCTTGTCCCTGCATCTCCGCATGTCCCTGCATCTCCGCTTGTCCCTGCATCTCCGCTTGTCCCTGCCTCTCTGCTTGTCCCTGCCTCTCTGCTTGTCCCTGCCCACCCTGGTCTGTCTGTTGTTGCTGAGGCTGCAGGAGCAGGAAGCTGGGTCTTTCTCGGTTGGGGCTCTTCAGAAACAAAGAGGAATTTGGGGGCAGGTGGTTGATTTGGGAGGTGATCCCAGGCGAGACCAGTTGTTGACTAAGGAGATCAGATGGAAGAGACAGAGCTGGTAGACGCGTGTTAGTAAGCAGATTACACTGTCCGGGGTAGGTTATCCTATCCAAGGACAGCCTGGGGTATTTATCTATCCCACCCGCGTGCCCAGGAGAGAGCCGTTGGTGTGGAGAGGTGAATGTGGGGAGGAGGCGTGGGGCCCTTCCTGCCACCCCGCTCACCCGCTCCTCCCCACAGTGGACCCCTTGGCCCAGGTGACTCAGCTATTCCGCGAACATCTCTTGGAGCGAGCACTGAATTGTGTGGCTCAGCCCAGTCCCAGCCCTGGATCGGCTGATGGGGACAGGTGAGTGGCCCTGTGCCGCCCCCCCCAGGCAAGCACCCTCCACAGTAAGTCTGGGAGTGGCTGTGTCCAGGGCCGTGGGTGGGTGGCCAGAGCCGGGCTCCTGTCCACCTGCCGTGTGGCCTTGGGCGCATCTCAGTTCCTCCCTGGGTCTGTCTCCCTAGCAGCTCGCCAGGAAGCGAGCTGGGAGGTCAGGCTGGGCTCTGGTGCGCTGGGAGGAGGGCCGGGGCCTGTCCTGACAGCGAGGTCTCTCTTCTGCCACAGGGAGTTCTCGGACGCCCTGGGGTACCTGCAGCTGCTCAACAGCTGTTCCGATGCCGCCGGGGCTCCCGCCTGCAGCTTCTCCATCAGCTCCAGCATGGCCACCGCCGCCGGTGAGCCCCCAGCCCCGCGCCCTGGGACCCCCGGCTCCGCCTCAGCTGCAGTGTGGCTGAGCTTCAGGGAGCCCCCCTCCCCGCCCCGTGCTCCCTGCAGGCACAGACCCCGTGGCCAAGTGGTGGGCCTCCCTGACGGCCGTGGTGACCCACTGGCTGCGGCGTGACGAGGAGGCGGCTGAGCGGCTGTACCCGCTGGTGGAGCACTTGCCCCGTGCCCTGCAGGAGTCGGAGTGAGTATCCGCCAGGTCCTCCGGGCGCCCCCAGCGCGGTGCTGCCCCCCCCCCCCCGGGCCTTGGTTCTGTGCGGTCGGGGTCGCGGGAAGCCGGAAGCGGGGCAGCGGGGAGCTCAGTGTGGGTCTGCGCCCGGTCTGACCATCAGTCCTCTGCCCTGGCCCCAACAGGAGACCCCTGCCCAGGGCGGCCCTGCACTCCTTCAAGGCTGCCCGGGCCGTGCTGGGCCGCGGGAAGGCAGAGTCTGGCCCGGCCAGCCTGGCCATCTGTGAGAAGGCCAGTGGGTACCTGCAGGACAGCCTGGCCACCACCCCAGCTGGCAGCTCCATCGACAAGGTGAGGGGTGCTGCCGGGGGCCTGGCCGGTCTTGGGGGGGTGTCACCACCCTTTCTGTCCCTGGACCTTCCCCCCTGCGCCGCAGTACCGGATGGGGGGCGCACTCGCTAAGGCCCCAGTCTCCCCAGCCCCAGGAGGAGAGGCGGGGTGAGGGGGCTGGCGGAGCCCTCCCGGGAGGCCGCGCCCGCGGCAGGCGGCAGGCGTGGGGGCCTGGAGAGGCGGGCGGCCCCGCGGTGCATTGCTGTTGCATTGCACGTGAGTGACGCGGGTGCAGTGCCTCCGCAGTGCAGCCCGGAGCCGGCCCCTGGCACCGCGGGCCCCCAGCCGTCCCCTCCCGCGGCCGGAGCCCCCCGTGACCCCTGCCCTGCCCTGCCCTCCCGCCCTCCCCCCAGGCCATGCAGCTGCTCCTGTGTGACTTGCTCCTGGTGGCGCGAACTAGCCTGTGGCGGCGGCAGCAGCTGCCTGCAGCCCCCCAGGCCTCGCTGGGCCCCGGCGCTGGGGCCCAGGCCTCCGCCCTCGAACTGCGCGGCTTCCAGCGGGACCTGAGCGGCCTGAGGCGGCTGGCGCAGAGCTTCCGGCCCGCCATGCGGAGGGTGAGTGCCCGCGGGGCCCTTCCCCAGCAGGTGCGGGGAGAGTGGGGGCCCGGCCCGAACCCCGACTCTGCGGGCCCCCTCCTGCCCAGGTGTTCCTGCACGAGGCCACGGCCCGGCTGATGGCGGGGGCCAGCCCCACGCGGACACACCAGCTCCTGGACCGCAGTCTGCGGAGGAGGGCAGGCCCCTGTGGCAAAGGTGAGCGGGGGCGCTGCCGTGGTCGGGGCGGGCTCGGGCCCCGCCGGGGCGGGAAGGCCCAGACGGGGGGTGATGGATGCCGAGCGCCGCTGTGGAAGGGGCAGAGACCGAGGGACTTCGTGGCGGTTGCCAGAGGGCGATATCCCACCTGAGAAATCCGCCCGGGGCCACTGTCCCCTGCAGGGAAAGGAGACTGTGCGGAGGGGAGGGGTCTGAGGCTCCACGGGTGCGCCCGAGAGGGGCGGGGCCGGCGGGGCGGGGCCAGGCCCGGAGCCCCGCCCCTGACGCCCCTGCGGTGTCGAGCACTGAATTGTGTGGCTCAGCCCACCCACCCCCCAGCTCCCGCACCTGCCCCTTAAGCCCTAACCCTACAAGGGCCCTTAGCCCCTCCTCTGGTCCCAACTTGGCCCTCAAGAGCTAGACCAACTCCCGTGCGCCCCTCTCCAGGGGGCCCTAAGCTGATTGTGGGTGGGGTATCTAGCCTTCACCCCCGGCCCTGCTCCTTTCCGGCCTCCAGAGTCTCTGAAGGACCTGGTCTCAGCCTGCGGCAGCGGAGGGAACACAGACGTGCCCATGGAGGGCATGAAGCCTGAGCTGGTGGACACGCTGAGCCCGCCCCCGTCGGACGCCGGTTCGCCGTCCCAGAGCAGCCCCTTGTCCCTTGGAGGCAGGGCTAGCGGTGGCAGCGGCAGTGACTCGGAGCCCGACAGCCCGGTCTTTGAGGACAGCCAGGTTGGGCCCGGCCCTGTTCCCCAGCCCCCACCCCCGGTCCATCTCCCTGCAATATCTGAGCCCCAGGACTCGGTCAGGAAGAGGCCCCTAACATAGCCCACCTCCCATTTGATAGAGAAACGGAGGCCTGTAGCCACGTGGGGTCCCACAGTAAGGCGGCGTGGAGGGCTGATCCCTCCTTCCCTGTCGCATCCTCCCGGGGCCACTCCCGCTCTGCCCTCGCCGACCTGCCCACCCCTGCCAGGTGAAGCCCGAGCAGCTGCTGTCCCCCCGCAGCCGGGGCATGCTGGACCGCTCCCGCCTGGTCCTGTGCACGCTCGTCTTCCTCTGCCTCTCCTGCAACCCGTTGGCCGCCCTGCTGGGCAGCCGGGCCCTCCCCAGCCCCTCGGATGCCGGCAGCACCTACCACCATCCTGGCCGCAGCGTGCTGGGCACCGAGGGCAGAGGTAGGACAGGCCCCAGCGTGGGTATCCTTGGGACGGAGGGGCGGGGGTGGGGAGCTCGGGGCGTGTAGCTGGGACTCTGGATTTCCGGGGTGCCGTGGTCCCAGCCCCTCTGTCTGCCCCCAGACGGCCCTGGCTGGGCCCCGTGGCTGCTGACCCCACTGGTGTGGCTGCCCAACGGGCTGCTGGTGCTGGCCTGCTTGGCGCTTCTTTTTGTCTACGGAGAGCCGGTCACGCGGCCCCACTCAGGCCCCGCCGTGCACTTCTGGAGACATCGCAAGCAGGCTGACCTGGACCTGGCCCGGGTAAGGGGCCGGATCCCGGGGGTGGGCTCGGGGGATGGGGCAGGGCCAGGACCTGGGCGGCACCTGGGAAGGTGCTGGGGGGCCCTGCCCTGCCCTGTCGTCCCCTCAGACTCGCACTGCCGGGGGTGGGCAGAGGGGCGGGGAGGGGACACCAGCGTCATGGTGGGGGGCCCAAGGTGGAAGGACCTTCAGAGCAGGAGGGGTATCGTGCGCTCACATGCTCTGATCCACCTCTTCTCACCTGGAAAACCCTCATCCGCAGGGGGACTTTGCCCAAGCTGCCCAGCAGCTGTGGCTGGCCCTGCGGGCCCTGGGCCGCCCGCTGCCCACCTCCCACCTGGACCTGGCCTGCAGCCTGCTCTGGAACCTCATCCGCCACCTGCTGCAGCGTCTCTGGGTGGGCCGCTGGCTGGCAGGCCGGGCAGGGGGCCTGCAGAGGGACTGCACCCTGCGGGCGGACGCCCGCACCAGCGCCCGGGATGCCGCGTTCGTCTACCACAAGCTGCACCAGCTGCACACCATGGGTATGCGGGGCGAGGGGCCGGGCCCGAGGGGCTCCCGCCGCCCCCCTGCCTCACGTCCTGCCCGTTTTCCAGGGAAGTACACGGGAGGGCACCTTGCCGCTGCCAATCTGGCACTGAGCGCCCTGAACCTGGCAGAATGTGCGGGGGACGCCGTGTCCGTGGCCACGCTGGCCGAGATCTATGTGGCCGCCGCGCTGAGGGTCAAGACCAGTCTCCCGCGGGCCTTGCATTTTCTGACAGTGAGTGGGTGCTGGGCCGATGGGGACAGGGCTGGGGGGCTTGTCTCTGCAGCTCTTTCCGGTGGCTCCCTGGGCACGGGGCTCACAGGAGGAGGCAGCTGGTTACGGGGGGCGGGGGGACTCCAGGCCCGTCTCAGACCTAGGGTTGGGTTTGAGCCCCTGTCTGGGTCCAGTGTGACAGCCCCACTCCCCTCCCCCACAGCGCTTCTTCCTGAGTAGCGCCCGCCAGGCCTGCCTGGCACACAGCGGCTCGGTGCCTCTTGCCATGCACTGGCTGTGCCACCCGGTGGGCCACCGTTTCTTCGTGGATGGGGACTGGGCCGTGAGCAGCGCCCCGAGGGAAAGCCTGTACAGTTTGGCCGGCAACCCAGGTGCTCTCTCAGCGCCGTGCCCATCCCCTGCTGCCCGACGTCCTTCGTGGCCCATTCCCCTTCCTGTCCCGCATCTCCGCTTGTCCCTGCATCTCTGCTTGTCCCTGCATCTCTGC